TATGTCCACAGGTCTCGTTGCTACCGCTGGGGGTAATGTGACCCCAACCCTCTTAGCGTAAATAGATTCTGCCAAAATGACTAAGGGGAGGGGAAAACAGCAACTCCACTACCCTTGCCGCTGTCCAGGCTGCTCCGGTGGGTGTCTCAGCCTCCACGTCTCCTCCTCAGCCATCGTATAAGCCCTATGGAGTTTCCGAGTTTATTTTTGGTAAATCCTTTGGTGTCTCATTGAAGTTGAGAACTATCTCATCCTTCTGAGGCCTCTCGATACTCATGTAGATATGCATGACTGTTATGCTTGACTTGCTTTCTTTCTTTCTCTCTATAGTTTCTTGCTTATGATCTGTCTTAATCATAAGTGCTGAAGTCCGACTCAATTTATATGATTAGCTGTTTGGCTGCAGTGGTGTTATCCGTATTTTATGATATTGTCGGGTTTCAGTGATTGCTCACCGCACACGCTATGACAGAAGACAACCACTTTCTTTAAAGATTTTGCTAGAATTCTGAAATATGCTATGTACGCAATATGCATCTATAGTTCAGAATCATGGGTATACTTTAAGATTGTGATTATATAATATCCACATTAATACCACAACTAAGCTTAGAGGACTTAGTTTGAATTTAGCTTTAATATATTTAATAGTTACTCCTTAGATAAATCATTTATTCAAATTGATCACAAATCCTAACTCAACCTGTCTGGTTTCCATTTAGCTGGAGGTCATACCTAGAAACAAGTTAATTTGCAGTCAATGATTTCTCTAGAATAGATCTTTACACTACGTTCTGTTGCTACTCTAAATTTATATCACAAAATAAGGTGACCAAATCATGTCTCGCACAATGCAAACAGTGTGATTCACAAAACTTAATCACTTATGCACTAACATGTACCTTGTGTGGCAGACCCTGTTTCACTGGTATGTAAGGGCAAAACGTACTACTGACTCAGTGAGTACTGGCGATAATGTGTCAACATATGGTTTATAAGATAGCTTCTATCAGTCTCCTTAAGGGAGGAATAATTCCACAGAGAGCCTCTAAAGTACCAATAGAGATTATATAACAGATTGAGGCAAATTACTCATATTCTTACGTAGCTTTAAATACCTTTGTTTGATGAAATCTGAAGACAGAATATGCCATTCATTTTAGATAATGTACATACATCTTAAGATAAGCAGTCCTTATACAGTAGACAAATATATCCTTCATCATGAATAGTGGTCGAGGTTTTCCTTTATTGGTAATGAAAAGCAATGCTGTGATTGACAAAGATAATAGGAACTAGTTAGATAGATAAACTTTTAGAATATAAGTATGTTAACATAAATAAACTTTTAAAGTATTTACAAATACTGCAAAATGTTGTCCAAAATTGTATTTTATACAGATGTTTCATGTCATTTGGGGACAAGATATCAGTCTTTTTCATATAATAATGAATTGTCTTAATTTTCTTTCTGTAGAAATGAAAATATTAGTACTTGAGTGTTTGTTATTTTATTATCTGGATTTTTTTTTTTTTGACTCGTATCAATTTTCAATGTTATATAAGACTGTATAAGTTATTAATGTATTCATGTCTTTATGAGACTTTTGATTTTTTTACATATTCATTTGTGTATTGGTTGGTGTGCTTCTTCAGAGAAGCTCAAATTGGTGGTGTTATCTTTTATATAATTATTGTGCCACTTCTTTTCAAATGTTATATGGTTTATCACAACGTGATAAGACTCGTCTGTTTTTCTTAGTTCACATTGCCAATCTTAATTCTTCTAACAAATTCAAACAAAAGTATGCTTTTTTAATACATTGTTATTGATTTTATTGGATAGATTTTTGTATATTAATTGGTACATTTGTGATTTTATTTGTATTGCTAATGAGTTTCAAAGCATTTAACAGATAGTTTCAGTCATCCCTAATCAGTTCTGTTGCTATGAGAAATAATTATACAAGAATAGTGAATACTATTTTTCTCCAAATAATATACTACTGTCATGTCGGATTGAGTCAATGATAAACTTGTAGAGAACAGTGTTACCATTTACTAATCTTAATACTTTCTAAACAGGCACCATTCACAATAGGCCTAAACCATTCTTTTTTTCTTTTTTTTCTTAATTTTTTTATTTTGGATATTCGTGGGTACAATTTTTATTCAATATTCTTTCTCCTCCGCCCAATAGTGTAGAGTACTCTAGCAAGCTGATATTCCCAGCAGATGGTACATTGGTTCACTTTTTCATTTATGGTATGTATGTACATCTTCATAATCAATTAAATGTACTTTCTTTATATCTTTGACCTGTTTCAAAGTCTTATCATTGTGGATGATATGAATTCCTTTACGCCTAATCTATGCAGAACTGATTATATATGGAGAATACGTTAAGTATGTGAAAATCTCAAGTTATATTTTTCTAAGAAAAAGTGGTTATATATAGTTATAAACTGGAAAATGTTATTATGATTCACGATTTTATCAAGTGACCAACTTTTTATAGTTAATAGTTTGACATATAATAGTATTCATATAATACATTGCTTTATTCTATAAAACATTATATTGATATAA